ATGTGTGGAAGTGTTAAAAGGGGCTGATATATATGGGTCGAGTAAGATAGAAGCTTCACGTTCCCAATGAGAAAGTAAATTAATTTAGGTCATGCGTTATGTTAAGTGTTTAGACTGATGTAAGGTTTACTTGCGGGAAGTGAGGGAATTTGACTGCATTCCACGTGAGGTGATATCTCACTTCAATCCCGGGGCTTAAAAACGTTACATTAATAAAACTATAATACTACAATCTAATCCCTTTTTGAAACTTCGGCCAAATGCTAGTAATATGATCTTTACAACTCATTTATTGGTTTGACTATTGTTAACTTTAAGTTACAAAACACGATAAATAATTATGTATTCTATCAACATATTACTCGATTTTTATAAAACATTTTATCAAAATTTAAATATTATTAGCCTGTAAGATATGATTATCCAAATACATAATCAATATACTAAATCACTATTAATTGTTTTTAGATGTCCAAACATAATATAACATCTAAATATTTTTACATCATAAGAAAACTATATTTTGTTAAAGGTATAATTAAGTATAAGGTTAGGAAGCAGTGTTTTTTTACAGTAAATTGATATGATCCTTGGCTTCAAAATTTAGACTCTGAATTGATGATTCTAATATTTAATAGTCCATTGTTATGGAGTATACCTACGAATATTTAAGGGAATTAAAGTGAGTATATAATTGTATTTGAAGGCAAAGGAGGTCTAGATAGGTAGGAGCTTTGTTAGATCAAATCAGATGTCAAAAAAAGTGCATAATAAAAATGTAATATCAAATCACACAAATGTTTCTCAACAAAAACATGGTCCTACTTTCTACTGTTTGACTGTTTCCTTCATCTTGTCGCTTTGACGTTATCTTTACCCATGCTTATATTATTTTTCCTTTTTTCCCGAATCGAGCCGTATACGACCCTTTAATTTTCACCCATTTTCTTACAATCAAAATACTTATTAGAAACTTAAACAATGTCAACGCATATATAACTTATCACCTCATTATAGTTAAAAACAAAAATTATCATAATGCAATTCATAATTTATCCCAGAATGCAACATATTACCTATAAGGGTATCTCCAACCCCACTCCAAAACTCACTCTAAAATGAGATTTGGAGTAAAATTTTCTCCAATCCCACTCCAAAATGGAGTAAACCCATTTTCTCCTCCATTTTGGATTTATGGAATAATGGGTTGGAGAAAACTTCTACTCTAAAATGGAGTTATAATGGAAAATAGAGGAATGGATTGGAAATGGTCTAAACAAATCAAATTTCGTATGTTTTTTTTTTGGTCAACAAGCTTATCTCATTCATTTAAAAACGATCAGAGTACAAACGGGAGGGAATTAAGCATCCTCCGAAGATACTACAACATAATTGAAAAGTAATAAAATACAAGATAGATATATCAACGCAAAAGATGGACATCGAATCCAAAACATGCCTCGGATGCGTCAAGAGGGTCTTCACTGAAAAGCCAAAAATTCTCAGGTTGGTCACTTTACATTGTGACTTTGAAGATCTCGGCATAGCGCTCGAGATTTCGACCACTCTCCAAGAGAGGGACGAAGATTCGACCAGTCTCAAAGAGATGGTAGAAGGTAGAATTGAACTCTTCCACCGGGAGTAAAATACATGATTTGAGAATCCAGAAAACTTTAGACTTCTCAAAAAAGAGAAGTCAAATAGCTCAAAAGCTAGTGAGATTTTTGCAAATCTGCTTTTTAACAATCTGTTGGTTGGGCCAGGATTAGTGAGTGCTATACTCCAAATGGGCTTCAACAAACTGGGTTTTGAGAAACCCACAGACTCTTCACAAAGAATGGACCTCACCATAATGGGTCTCAATATAATGGGCTCTGAGAAGCCCACCACCTTTTCACCTTGGCCCAAATGTACTCGCAAGCCACCACGAAGGCAAGCCGAGCGATGTTGAGGCAGGTGACTGTCGGTGAAGTTTTCCGGTATGCAGCATGGCGGTGTCTTGGTGGCTTCAACCACAATCGGATAAAGTCTCAGGTTAGGCAAGTTGGCTAGAGTATTAATGGATTCAACCTCGGCAACGAGCCAGATCTCGGCCGAGGACGAGATGGAGGTAACCGGCGTCGGTTGTGATTTTTTTCCCATGGAGCGAGATTGAAACCTGGGCTGGGAGTTGGGTTCGGATCTTGTATCAGCGCAACCACCTTGGCCGGCACGAGAGGAAACGATTACTGTTGGAAGGGCGGATTGAAGGAAAATGATAGTCGGAGCAAATTCTACTCTCGTGCCAGAGCCGAGTTCTTCGACGGCGAGAAAAGGTTTTGCTGGGTGAAACAGCTTAGCGTGGAATAAGGAGGTTTTTCCCGTCCGTGGAGCAGAGATTGAACACACAGGTTGAGATAGGTCGGGGGGAGGATGAAGGGGCGAGGTAATAGGTCTTGACCTCGGTGGCGTCGA